TTTTTATTTATTTTTTCTTTTTTTTCTGAGATAGGGTCTCACGATGTAGCTCTGGCTGTCCTAGAACTTGCTGTGTAGACCAGGCTGGCTTCAAACTTACAGAGATTCACCTGCCTCTGCCTGTCTATTGTCAACTTGACTGGACTGGAAAAAGACACATTGCTTGTCTCTATATGGACATTTTCACAAAGTTACTAAGCAGGGGAGGCCTCCCATAAATGTGAATGGCACTCTTCCACAGGCTGGGGACTCAGGTAAAACAAGAAGAGGAAAAGATTGCCAGCGTAGGCATTATTTTCCAGTTTCCTTGGCACCATGATATGACCTGCTCTGCTCTGACACACCCTTTCTAAGAAGATGAACTGGAACTGTAAGTCAGAATATATAACTTTTGCCTTTCAAGTTATTCCCCTCAGGTATTTGTCAGGAGATGAAAGTCTAAGTAATAAAAAAGTACTTGATATGAAGAAGTAGGGTCAGATCTGTGGCTAATCTGACCATGTAGAAACTTTTAAGAATTGGTTTTATTTTATTTTTTGTTTTTTTTTCGAGACAGGGTTTCTCTGTATAGTCCTGGCTGTCCTGGAACTCACTCTGTAGACCAGGCTGTCCTCGAACTCAGAAATTCGCCTGCCTCTGCCTCCCAAGTGCTGGGATTAAAGGCGTGCGCCACCAAAACCTGGTAAGAATTGGTTTGTGAACATTTCAAAAAGCCCCCTAGGGGGTCCTAGGTACTTGAGCCATAATTTAGCCAGTGAGTCTGTTGTGAGTGTAAATACCTAGAATGCTGATAGGGAGGGGATAGGAAGACTGCTGGGGATGTTTCTGACAGGAGTAAAAACAACGCCAGAAACTGGACTAATGGCATGCATTTTAAACTGTGACAGAGAACTTGCATTTTAAGCAAGCCCTGGGACTTATGAGGCTAAATTTAAAAGTGATACACTAAAAATTTTAGTGGAGGAAATTTTGCAGCAGCCCTGCATTCAGACAGATGGCCGCCCCCCGCCCCCCTCGTGAGAGTTGTAAGCAAAAAAGCATAGAGGAAAGTTTTGAAGTATGTGCAAAATTGGAGCCAAGGAAACAGGAGCTGCTGATGACAACATAGCCACCAAAAAGAAGCCAAGGACACTGAAGAAACAGGAAAGATCCTGAGGATATCTCAGGACTCAGGAATTGGCTGGATCTCCCTAAGGTATGGAGGTTTTTTCTTTTAAATCAATCAATCAATCAATCAATCAGTCATATATGAGTGTCCAGAAGGCATCAGATGTCTTGAAACTGGCATCACAGGCAGCTGTGAGCAGCCAGTGCTGCTAGGAATGAAACTGGGGTCCCATGGAATAGCAACCAGTGCAATTAACCACTGAGCCATCTCTCCAGCTCTGGGTGCAGAAGTTTTAATTCACTTGAGAACACTGTTTTGAGAAGAGAACCCCAGGGCTACCTGTTAGGAAGTACTTGAAAAGCTGACTTTAGGGAAACTGTCCCAAGAAGGGACTGGAACAAAGCAAGCAAGCCCATACTCAAGAGGACCAACATTAATCCTGTAACTATATGGCAAGCATCCGAGGCACAGGTGGCATTGGCACACTGTTAAGAAAGTGTGTCCTCTGGTGTATTCTGAGACCACTACATCCATGTTTCAGGGAAGCCTGGCTACTGCCTGAGCTTGTGGCAGTCCTTGACTTTATTCACACAGTGCTGGTTTTGTAGATAGGCAGACAGTTACGGAATCACTGGCCATCTACCCTGATTTCAAAGGAAGGCAGAGACCCAGCAACATATAGCAGAGTTGGTATCCTAGAAGGAAGCCCTGCAAAGGGCAATGCATTAAAATATGGAGGTGAAGCAAGGGATACAAAGAAAACCCTAGGAATATGTCATGTCTACCAAGGTGAAAGTTAATTAGTGAAGTCTTCCCTAAAGAGAGGGTTGTAGAAATTGCAAACAGCAATGCTATAAGGGCAGGTTGCTCAAGACCTCCGGGGCCCCCGTTATGTGCTTCAGATGGTGGATATATAGCTGTATGATTTAACATTTGCCATGTTGGGTATTGACCTTGGTTTGGTCCAATCCTTCATGTTATTCTGCTGTACCTCTTTTTCTGAATGGGAATGTATACGTTGTGCCACTGTGTAGTTCCAATATTCAATTTCTTTTTTTTTTAATTTTATAGGAGCTCATAGCTAAGAGTTTGCCTTGAGTCTCTGAAGAAACTCAGAACTTCTGAGCAACACTGTTAAGACTTCAGGGATTGTATATATTTTGCTTTATTAGTTGGCCATGAACTTTTAGGGACCAGGTATGGAATATTATGATGTAAGGAGGTATGCTTGGGTATCAATTTGATAAAGGCTAGACGTGAAATAGTTAATGTTGTCAACTTAGGGGCTTGAAGAAACAAACGCTTTAGTGAGTCAAAAAGATGAGCTACAGGGGCAATTCACTCTGAATGTGGATAACACCACCCATAGAGTAGGGCCTAGGTCAAAGGAGAAAAGGGAAAAAGCCAGGCAGCAGAGGCATTCTCTATGCTTAATAGACACCACGTGACCTATTCTGCTTTATCATGCCGAGTCTACATAATGGATAGAAACTACTAAAACCAAGAACTAAAATAAATCTTCCCTGCCTTAAGTTGTTTGGCACTGATATCTGATCACAGCAAGAAAAAAAAAATCACATTAGTAAAATGTGTCTGCATGTGTATATAGCTTTTTGAGCATTTTAATATTTTATAGTAGAAAGTAGTTCAGTCTGCTTTACAAATGAAATTCCTTGACTATCAATTTGATACTAGCAGTAAAGAGTTAATTAACTAGCAGTCAAGCCTTAATTAACAGAGACCCTAAACTGAAGAGGCTGACTGACTGTGGAGTGCTCAGCCTTAAATGATTATTTACATATCATAGCCCTTTCCACAAGGCTCAGGGATGCTTCCTGAAGAGGAAGTGGAGAAAGGGTAAGAGCCAGAGGTGGTAGAAATCCTCCAGAAAACAGTATTTTCTGGACACTTGAACATATGAACTCAAAGAGATTTGGACATTATGCACAAGACCTGTGAAGCCCAAGCCAGACAAAATCCTATCATAGAAGGGCCAAGATGGGCCTGGAATCTCACCACTAGCTCAGAAGCTATTGGCATGTGATAACCCCTGCAAGAGAAAGAACCAGTTTTCTTGAGTGATATGACCCCTGGTAGGTGGACATGTCCAGACTAATTGAGCAGCACAAATTGGATTAGATTGGGGCAGAAGAAATCTCCAAGTTTGATGGTAAGGGATGGGTAGATGGTTAAGGAAGGAGTTGGGGATGTGTGAATATATTAAAAATAGACTTATGAACTTTCCAATTTCAGTAAACTAAAGTATTTTGAGTATTAATTTACCCTAAATACAAAATAAATGACTGAAAACAAGACATCATGGTATATTGTGTGAGGCTTAGCCACTGTCTCATATGCATGTGTTGCAAGTCTAACATGAGACAAGTCACCACAGCCTCCTAGTTGTGCTGGCCTTAGAGCGGCCGACTTGCAGTTTTCTCACCTCTAAATAAAGCAGCTTTCTTGTTTTACCTTGGTGTGCTTTACAAATATAGTTACTTTCTATGTGTACAAGGACACAATTTTGAGAAATATTGCCTTGGAAGTATATTTGCAAGTTATAATATATATATTTGATTTGGCCTGTTGCTTGATCTTGCAGTCCATGAGCCATCGATGGCTTTTATATTTTAGATGGTTGACAAAGAATTGACCCCATAGGAAGGCCAGCAGTCTCAATTAACCTAGACTCCAGGGAGCTCCCAGACTGAGCCACCAACCGGGAGCATACATGGGCTGGTCCAAGGCCTTTGACACATATATAGCCTGGTCTGGCCTCTGTGGGAGAAGATGTGCTTAATCCTCAAGAGACCTGAGGTCCCAGGGAAGGGGGACGTTCGGGGGGGGGGGGGGATCCTCTTGGAGGCAAGGGGGAGAAAGAATGGGATGAGTAACTGTGAGAGGGTGGACTGGGATAGGGGAAATGACTGGAATGTAAATAAAATAATTAAAAAAAGGGCTGGCAAGATGGCTCAGTGGTTAAGAGCACTGGCTGCTCTTTCAGAGGTCCTGAGTTCAATTCCCAGCAACTATATGGTGGCTCACAACCATCTGTAATGAGATTTGATGCCCTCTTCTGGTATGTCTGAAGACAGCCACAGTATACTCACATACATAAAATAAATAAATTAAAAAAAAAAAAGAAAGAAAGAAAAGAAAATATACTGTTAAAAAATAATTTAAAAAAAGCACTGAAAAGATGAATATGACATGTCATGCAAGTTTAAATATCAGCATCTATAAATAAAAATTTCCTGGAATGAAGCCTTTTTGTTGCTACATCTATGACTGCTTTTGTGTTGCAATTGTAGATGAAGTAGCTGTGACACAGACACTGGTGATCTAAGTCCTATACCAGAAACACAGAGCACATGTGCACATGTATACACTCTCATCTGGTAGCCATCATGATTTAATACCGGCAAAGGGCTGGATCATATTCCCAAAGATCAGATTTAAAAATAAATGCACAAGGGCTGGGAAACAGCTTAGAAGTAAGATTGCTTTTCTATACTAGGCCCTGAGTTTGAATCTCTAGACTGCATGTGCATGTGTGCATGTATGCATTTGTGTGTGAGGGGGAGGCAAGCATAAAAATAAGTGAGTAGGATCTGAGAAGCTTTAAGGTTCAAGACTTTGTATGCTTTGACTTGCCAGATTTCTTGCAAGATGAGGTGGTTTATAAATGCAGAATCTGAAACTAGAGATGTTTGAAAAAAGAAATACAGATTGTATGTTACATAATTAAAATTCGAAGAAAAACACACATGAGTTACTTCTCCACACAAATGAGGAACAGATCAGGGGTGGGATGCACAGGAAACTAGAAACAAACCAGCTTTCATGAGGCAAGACAGCCTCACTGGACGGAAGGAAGAAGCATGACTCTTACTTGCGCATGTGTAGGCGTCCTTGTTGGTGAAAGGCTTCATGCACTGGCTGCAGCTGATGGGACCCACAATAGGAATGGGGCTGAAAGTGTGCCCATTTAGAGCCTTTTTATCTTTTTCCTTCTCTTTAGCTTCTTTCTCTTTCTCTTTAATTTTATCCTTTTCCTTTTCCTTTTCCTGCCCAAGAAAAGAATTAACAGTTAACCAAGTACTGGAAGGAAGGCCTTCCCCTTACCTGTACACACAGATGCCAAGTGGTCAAGGGAGGGTGGTGGCTATTGTGGATAGAAATGAGGAACAATGCCTGGGCAACATTTTACCAATTTTCAAACATTTGAGATCCCATTTGAAACACTTATGAGTTCTAAGCCATCGGGAGCTGTTTATATTAATGGGGTAGAGCCTACAGAGGAAGGGCTTTCCTTAGTAAGGTACAGCATAGTTCACACAGGGCGAGCTGAATTCCTTAGTAAGGTGTAGCATAGTCCACACAGGGCGCCCTGAATTTAGGACCAGTTTAGAAGGGGAGCAGAAGGAAGGATGGTAGCAATTCTGGGTCAGCTTGAAGGAGAAAAACTATGTCATATGGTTTAAAAAGTTCTGTGAGGTTCCTCTCTAAGTTTTACAAACTACATGTATGTCCCCAAGGAATGAAGACATTTTCTTCCTTACTCTAATCAGAACTATTAAATAACCCCACATATACTGTTTTTTAAATTAATTAATTAATTATTACTAATTAGAACTCAGCAGGTTAGCAGATATTAATTTTAGTTCAGTGTTCAAATGGTGACAGTGAGAGGAGGGTAGAGGACTGCACAGAGGTTAAGAATAAAGGCAGCTCTAAGTTATACTCATGGTGGGACTGTGAGGAAATGATTTCTCTGAGCCCTAGTCATTTCATTTGCAAATGGGACAGGTGCCCACTTATAGTTCTGTTTTTGTTTGTAATAAGGAACACAGCCTGGCAGTGGTGGCGCACATCTTTAATCCCAGCACTTGGTAGGCAGAGGCAGGCGGATTTCTGAGTTCAAGGCCAGCCGGGTCTACAGAGTGAGTTCCAGGACAGCCAGGGCTACACAGAGAAACCCTGTCTCGAAAAACCGGAAGGAAAACAACAACAACAAAAAAAACCAAAAAAAAAAAAAAAAAAAAAAAGAAGTAACACATACAAAGCCTAGCACATGCTAAGCAACATTTAATACATTATAGTAATTATTTATACCTCAATGAAAATGAGTGCCATCAGCATATTAACTCTCCCAATGCAACACAAAAGCACAAGCTTTTGTAGTGAAGGAAAGGAAATTTTGACTTGTGGCAGGAGACAATAACCCCGGAGCAGTAACAAGGATGCTGGTGCAAAGCTTGGAAAAAGAGAAGTACAGAAGGCCAGGAACCTTCCCCAGACCTCCTTCTTTGTCTCTTCAAGCTGATTACTACAGCACCCATTTCCTCTCAAAAGACTGGGCACCTAGGGTAGGGAATTCCCAAGAGTAATGGAATAATTCTCTCACAAACTAATACATGAAGTGCTACAATTCATAGAGGTGAATTTTACCTACAGTTATATACTGGGACTATAATCTAAAAAAATACCCAAGAAGTGAGCTTCTCAGAGTGAGTGACCATGACAATTACTAACCATGTGACTTATCAACGCTACCAGTAGAGGTCATCTAGATAGACTCAGTGGGCAGGTGGGCATCATGCTTCCCACTCTACAACAGAGAGGATAATGCATGACACTTAAATAAGTAACTTACATGGATTTTCTTAGGGCAGGGCACTGTTCTAATTGTCTCCATTTTATATTTGAAGAGACTGAAGCTTAGAGACGTCTAATAATATATTTTGGAGCACAGAGCAGGAACTAGTTAAACTAGTTAAACTGGACTTGATGCAGTTTGGGATCACTAAAGTTCAGCTCTCATTCACCACACTTATTGTAAAGGGGTGCCAATGTTCCTTGAGTTGCAAAGGGTCACAAAGCAATGCTCAGTACCAAATAGGAACTCAAACTGCCTGATTTTCTAAAGCTCAGAACCCACCCAATATACGAAATGGGCTATTTGTAAAATCTACGATTCATGTGAAACTTTCCCGTAACAGAATCCATGGAGCAAACCCCCCAAAGCCAAACCGATGCATCTTAAAACTATTAAAAAAAAAAAAACCAAACAGAAAGGATGGGGGGGGGGAAACCACTTTACAAAACAGGAAACTCTTCTGAACAAAAATTAGTAACTGCTAAAGTGCATAGAACCCGAATTACCACACCTTGAGCACATCCTCCTTTTTTAACTAATTTTTTGCTGCAGATTTCTCTGAGTAAAGTGTTGTTAAAAATTATCTTTTATTTTTTGGTTTGAAGGTTCAGAGCATACACCAATGGTTAAAAAAAAAAAATCAAACAGCACAACTTTCTAGGGCAGCTAGGTTAGTCTTGGATGAACTGTAATGTTCTTCAGATCTGAATAATGCATTTTCTCATCCTGTACAGTAATCCAGAGGAGCTCCTCCAAGGACAGAAACAAAACAACGAACTACACATGGCCTCTCCTCCCCACCCCCTTTGTAATTCAGTGCTTTGAAGAAGTCTGGCTCTTACCTGCCCATGTTTTAGTCCCGTGAATCTCACTGTTATGAGAGGAACTTCGGGAAGCCGACCCCATTTTACCGACATGATTTGACCCCCATGCCAGGAAATGTTCTCTCACAGGAGATGCTCATGCCGGCAGGCAGACAGCTCAGAGCTACCATTAGCAAAATGGTAAGAGGAAGCTAGGGACTGGTTGAGAAAGGGCATGAGGGGAGGGCTGGGGCTGCTAGCTTGCTTGAGACAGTCTTAACTATTTGAATGCTGCTGGTAAAGCTAACCACTCTACCCTGAAGAACACAGGAAATGAAAGAAAACTGAAGTAACTCTCAAATACATGTGTGGACAGCATTTGCATTATAGTATGGGAAATATGGCAAAGATCGAGACCACACATAATACTGGAAGTTAAAATGCACATCTACTAAAAAACATATTCCTAATTGCATAAAAAGCAATGTTTTATAAGAAAATATTTTAGCAAAGTTGCTAGTGGTAAAATGGTGACTGGTTATTATTCTTAAATTTAATATGCCTATATTTAACCATTGCTAACATGCTTTAAATATACTGTGGGGAAAAAATCTAAGGACATTTAAAAATGGAGGAGACTGGCTACAATAATACTAGGGTGCTATGTAAGAAAATTAATTTTCACTTTCCTAAACCTATCTATCCTTTTAGTAGTTAGGGTTCTCCAAGTGCATGAAAACCTAATATGATTAGGCATCTTGGAAAGTTCTTCATATACAAGGCACAGAAACTAGGAACTGGGCCTGAATGGCTCACTATAAAGTTAACCTTTTGGTCTAAAACATGTCTTGTATCTTTTCAAGCTGTCCTTGTAAAAATGAGAACTTAATAGAAAAAACTAATCAGTAGTGTGAAGACCACTCTGTTTATGAAGGCAAGCAGTACGTATGTATCCAAGGGTCTTAATATGTGTATAATATGCACAAAATTTACTCAGCAGGAAACAGTACTACTGCTCAAAGACAATACAACAAAAGAGAAACTGCCCATCTTCCTCTTACGCTTCCTGTTTAGGGCTCCCAACCTTCTGAGAAACATTCAATCTATACATCTGCAACATCTGCATGTTATAGATGACTCAAAGGTTATGTATGCAGGATTGATAACTAAATTCCTTATATAATAAAAATTATACATATAAAAACTTGGCACTGTTGGGCAACACATATTATCTAGGAATGTGAAACATCTGCTGTCTGATAGCTAACTTTGGGCTACTCTGAGAGTCCAAAGACTGTTGGCAGTCACGGCTTAAACATGTGGGATAACAAACCCAAGATTGTAATTGTATTCTCATAGACACATACTCCATGTTTGCTCAGAGAGACTTTCCTAACTATATTCAGATACAACTCATATGTATTGGTTAGTAGCTGAATAACTGTATGGTCTTATTAACACATACTAAAAAATAAATAATCTTAGCACTTGGTAGAAACTTCAGTGGTTCCATCACTGGCCTAATATGTGCAAGGACCTGCAATCTTCAGCACTGAGAAAAAAGAGAAACAACTAACTCCCAAACAGAGTAAAAGAAGTGAAAGTTCATTATTTTTATAGAAAAAATAGTGTTAATATCTACAATATCACTTTTGTTTGTTTGTTTGTTTGTTTGTTTTCGAGACAGGGTTTCTCTGTGTAGCCCTGGCTGTCCTGGAACTCACTCTGTAGACCAGGCTGGCCTCGAACTCAGAAATCCACCTGCCTCTTCCTCCCAAGTGTTGGGATTAAAGGCGTGCGCCACTACCGCCCGGGCACTTTTTTTAAACAATATGGGAAACATCATTCAATAGTTAGGAAAAGGAGTTGATTGATACTCATTTATCTGTACAATAGGATGGACACATGACTATTTCTCTCTCGTTACCTCTGCCTATACTGACAAAGTCACTGTGTTCTGCAGTAGCTGTAGAACAGTTGGAGTTAACAGTTAGCTAACAGCCATTAACTGGAAAGATGGCATGTTCACACGCTTGGCCACTGAGGTACTTGCAAACACCCGGTAAAGGGAACAGTACTGCAATCTGCAGAGCTATGAATTTGCAAGTTTTGGAGTTTCCATTGCTGGAGATGGTTTAGCCTCCAAAGATCAAATCTTGAAGCCAAGTCTGAAAGAGGAACCATACCAATTGCAGAAGAGTGTTGCCATTTTGACTATGGAGAGAAACGGAGGCAAGAAGTCAACTGGCTCTTTAACAGTTATGGCAGCCCCGACGACTCTAACACAGGTAGCCTTCCCCCTCTCCCAAACCCCCGCCCCATCTCATCACCTGACTCCCTAAGGCTAGTCCTTTGAGGTTAAAAAATATTACAGAAAAGGGAAAAAGAAACTACTTAGCAATAGATTTTGCTGAAAAATAAGCACATAGTGACAGGCAACATGTGTGGGAAGCCAGACTTCATGTAGACCTGCCTGAGCATTATCTAGACTTGCTATTTGAAAAACTTTATTGAGCTTCGGTCTATAGTGTAACGAAGTTGGGGTGAGATCCTGTTTTGAAGAGTAAGTTCCAGTTTCTAAGTCTGATCTCACACTATTTTTTTTTTCTGTCTGTTTTACTCCCTCAGCAATTTCACTGTTGCATCCACCATGCAACGGGAAAAGTGATCAGAGTCTCTACTGACTTGCTGGTCTTATAATTTTGTGTGCCTGTGTGCATGTGTATATGATTCCAGTTTAAAAGCATAACAAAAAGTAACAGAAACATTTTGAATTCATCCAAACCAGACCATTACATTTTCAAGGGCAACTGAGAATTACAGGCCACTAAGCAGAGAAGCTGTTCAATAACACATGGGTTGGTTTTCCCAAGTGAACTTCCTTTTGTTGATAGCAACTACAGATGAAACAAGGACGCTAAAAAAAAAAAAAAAAAAAAAAAAAAAAAACCATTCAGGTTCTGCTGCTGCCAGTACATAGAATACAGTATGCATCCCACCCTCTTGACTTCTTATGTATTTTTTTTAGTTTTAAAACAAAAATGGAGCCAATATATAAACACATAATTAGGCCAGAAATGGTTTAGTAGACTGTATTTCCATCCTGTACTTGGTAGGAAAAAATGGTGAAAAAGCGGATTTGGTGCAAGAGTTTTGTGGGAAAACATTTTATTTACAAAACCTGCAGTTATAGCTAGGATAGTAAATGCATTCTCAAAGGTCCTTGTGCTTGTTCCCTATACTTGGTGGGGGATGACTGGAGAGAACTTATGGGTATGTGCCCTTGAAGGGGGTTATGAAGTCCCAGGTCCTTACTTTGCTTCCCCTCCAGCAGATGCTCTGACCGTGGGGCGTTTTACTACCACAGGCCCAAAGCAACAATACTAGGTGAACACAGGCTGAAACCTCTGAAATCGAATCCTTCTTAAAGAGATGATTAGAGCAGGTAACTTGTTACCATACAAAAAGCTAATACATTTATTAAAGCTTATTGGCTGTATTTCTATTAGCTTATATAACTGAGTGCCTGAAGGGCTTAGTTGGGGAAAAGAGGGTACTTTTTTTTTAATTGAAAAAAAATGAACATATTTTGATCTGTTTTTCCCTCTCCCCTAATTCTTCTCAGGATCCCCCAATTCTCTACATCTTCTACTAAAAAACAAATAAAAAACGAAACAAAACATTACCAACACCAAGCAACTCTTTAAAAACACAAAAATGAAAGTCAAGACAATTTTTGTTTTTGCAAAGGAATAGTTAAGACCAGACAGACAGAGAGACAGACAGAGAGACAGACAGAGAGACAGACAGACAGACAGAGAGAGACAGAGAGAGAGAGAGAGAGAGAGAGAGAGAGAGAGAGAGAGAGAGAGAGAGAGAGGCAAAACAAACCAAAATGAAACAAAAATATCATTGAGCTCGTTTTGTGTTGGCCAATACTTGTGGGCATGAGTATTGCCCCAAAGTGTGTTTGCTATAAAGAGGGTACATTTTTACAAGAATGTTGTTGAGTTCAGTTTATGTGCATACATGTATATATATACAATGCACAGAGACACATGTGATACTTTTCAAGTGGTCCTTAACCGAGTTTACTTTCGTGTGTGCAGACAGACAGCTACAGGTAAGTAAACAGACTACAGGGCAAGGGAGGAAACAGTATCACCCTCACTTGTTTGAAATGAAAATATTCTTCATTTAGGATCAGGGATCAGTATAAAAAACTTAGTTTCTTCCTCTTTAGGACATACCACAAAAGTATTAAACATATGTAAATTAAAGTATTGAGAATATATGTGGGGTTATTATAGATTTGTTTCTTAACTTTGTATTTTATAGAATCCTTAATGAACAAACAACTACAACTGGATCTGTGAAACTGAACTGAAATGTGTTTGTGAGCCATGGGAATTGAACCCAGGTCCTCTGGAAGGACTGCCAGTGCTGACCCATCTCTTCAGCCTCAGTTGTGTCTTAATTTAACTTCTTAAGCACTAAAGAGGATACAAAACAAATCCTCCCCAGTAGAAATAGATCTAAGAAAGTCTTAAAACTTCTTGTAATTTTTCTGAAGCATAATTTTCTTCCCTCTATCCCTGTAAATATTTCTTTTGATCTTAGCATAAGGTCTTTCTATTGGACTTTAAACCTGATTTAATAATTTCTGCACTGTGGTTCAGTGTGTGGGGTGAGGTGAGAGAGATGGAGCTTGATCCTCTTCTCCACACTCCACATGCCGTAAGGAAGAAGGCCTACAGCAGCAGGCTTCTTGAAAGGATGCATTAAGTTGATACATGGGCAACTTCTGGGGTGTGGTACAGTGGTAACACTGGTCACGGCTTGCTCAGCTGCTGTTTTGCTTCAGACATTAGACTGCTTCAAAGCAGCTTTGAAGTTAAGTCCATTCACTCCCTGTTGTCTATAGACATGTGGTGATAAGCGCTTATGCACAGAATGCCCAGAAGATACTTACTTTGCTCTTCTTGCTGCTGGACATTTTATTCCTGATGTAGCTGAAGGTGCGACTAACCTTAGTCCCACTCTTTTCTTCAAAATTCTTTTTTGAGGGGCTCGGAGGCAGGAAATTACAGTTTTCTTCTGTTATACTGAGTTAAAAAAAAAATATTGTTTTTCAGAACTAAAAATGTTAAATTGGGGACTGAGTAAGAAACAGGCAGTGACGACTGAATGGTCTTTTACACTACGAAAACAAATCTGAAATTAAATAAAGAAATAGTGTTGGGTATACCGACTTCTTTGCTTGAAAGGACATCCATACACACAAAGGGATGGCAGGGTATGTGCTGAGAAAGCTGGCAAAACCAAATCTTAGGACAAAGACAAGTCCATTAACAACAGAGGACACACATCTTTTCTAGTTTTCAGGCCTACTGACAAACTGTGGTCCTGTTCAGAAAGCTATGTATAACTTTGGGGTGAAGAATAAGCACATTTCAGGCAGAATGTGGGCAGATTCATTCTAGAGATCCAAGTTTACTGATCTACTTGTCAAGAAGGCTGAATAAAACTTAAGTCCATCTAATCTGAACATGCTTTGATTTTAGGAGATTCATAATAGTGGATTTCCTTAAAGTATACTGGGATCTAAATAAATAACGTAAGGACAAAGAACTGATCTAAGCAAGTTGTCTGGTACTTAGCACCATCCCACAGGGCTGCAGTTTCAGCCTCTGGGAGCACATTTATAAGCAGAACCATAAAAGGACCCTATTAACAGCCTTACTTATATGTGGTGGTTATAAAACAGAGATGTCCATTTTTAAGAGAAATGGAATAAAAACCACTGCTCTTGAGAAAGAAAGATAAAGATTTGAAAGTGCCATAAAGAGAAACAAATACTCATTGGAAAGACTGCAGATCACAATCAAAACTAAGGTCTTTGTGAAAAAGTGGGCAACCTAAACAAAATAATCAGAAATCCAATGTCACTAAACCACAATGTTTAATTTCATAAACAGAAACAAAGAACCATAAATGACAAGCCAATGGAGATTCTGTGCACGTTATCAAGTGAAAAATGTATTCAAGGTGGAATGATGCTCAGTGATAGAACACTTACCTAGCATGCACAAATCCCTGGGTGGTTCCCCAGTATTAGGAAAGAAAGGGAGGAGGAGAGGAGGAAAAGGAGAGCCTCAGTTCTAATGTGCAGAGGAGTATACTACATACGGCTTTTCTGTTTAGAACGGGGATGGAACCCAGAGCATGACTCATGCATGTTAAGCACAGCCACTGAATTACACCACCAGCCCTCAGCTTTAAAGGTTCAAACGACTAAGAAGATACAAAGACTGCAAGTCTGCCTACACACAACCCATGTGTGTATGTATATATGCATAACTCTATGATGCAAAATATTAAATTTATTCAAATTGAAAATCTCTGCAAGCCAAGTATATTTAAATGTATGTTAAATATAAGTATATTTTAATGAGTAAAAGCAAACGATCATCTTTATCATAGACAATATAAAGAATAAAAGGATAAAGTGATTGAGCAAATATTCAAAGTCTACATTGTAAAACACTTTCTAATGATTTCAACATTGCCATTTAAGGAAGTCAGAAGATGGGTGAGTTCAAAGAACTTAGAGTACTTCATTAAACAAGGTAAGACAGTCTGTATTGTCTTCATTTCACTCGGGGAAAGGGAGTAAGAAACCAATCGCCTCATACCTCTCAGTCAGGTTGGCACTGGTACTGTGGAAGGGCCGTGAATCTAGAAAACAAAAGCCACAGAGGTAAATTAGCACACAGAGATCTTGTCCTGAGGATTCCTGCACCACCTAAAAGTTCACGGAAGAGAAGAAGCACAAAGTCCCTGAACATCAGTGCACGGCACCTCTTCCTTAGGAAGGTTAGAAGGAGGAGAAATTAAAGTGGGAACCTTCAAATTAGAACGGAAATATGAACAAAGTATATTTGAAGAAAGTAAATTTAATCCAGGATCTGGGTAACTGAAAACATTAGTTGTTATGCTTAAGTACAGGTGAAGTACACTTAGTTTCTGTTTTTAATGAATTCTCAGTTCCCATGGGCCATCTTTCTGGGACGTCATCAAAAAATACAAAAGAAGAAAGCAAATGTTACATTTTTTTACTCCTGATCCTATTTGTAAATATTTCCATTGGAATAATCTAATATTATCTGATAGCTTCCTGAGAATTCTTGGAAATAGATTAGTAAACCAGAAGGAGCAAAGTGCTGGCAAAAGAGCCCAGCTCAGCCTTTAGTGTGGAAAAGACTTCTCCAGATCAGTTCCTCAACTTTAAGTGAGGGGAGCCAGATGGTTAGGTCTTTTTCAGGTTGACAGCAGTAAAATGAACGGGGCAGATGCATGCTTCTCCTCCCTTAACAGAAATGGAACCACGTGACTACAATTCCAAGGCTAAGTGCGGTAGCAGGGTAGTAATCAGAAAAAGGAAACAATATAATTATTTCTCTATGAAACATATTAATATGGGTAAATTAATAGATAAATGAATTAAGAATTACTATTAAAACAAGAAAGATTTGAACTACTAATGAGAATTTAGAAGTGACCAAAGCTTCAAGCACAAAGGTGAATGGCATTCAATTTTTTATATGATCACTTATAGCTGCTATCTAACTACTGTATAACTACTGTTACCATATGGAAAAAAACACACACACTTTATTCTTTGAAGTCGGTTTTGAGAGCCTCTAGGGTTACTACAAGTAAAACTGAGAGAGATTGGAGGCTCCACAATGACATTATTGGCATTTTAAACTCTTTCAACCTCAAATCGATTCTACATTTGAAATGTAAAGTTATAATTGTTACTAAGTAACTTCAATATTCAACTGGTAGGAATAAAATAAATGAATCATTAAAGGAATTCTTCAAAATTCTGTTTTCTTGTGCCTAACAACTTGGGTTTCTTTCATTATTTTCATCATGTTTGGAAATAGTCGCTCGGTAAGAAGTATCTACCTCCCAATTCTGCAGAATCTACTATAATCTTATAGTTGTGAAACTATAAGCATTTTAACCTATGATACCTTAGTTACCTTTAAAACAATAGACTATTGATTAAAACAATGGCTTTAGAGCTTTTCCAACCCTGGAACCTTCAATGATATAAGCATTCAGCTCTCCTAGAACTGTTAGGATTGCACCACACAGTTAAGCAATGCACCAAGTTACCACTCTAGTAAACTATACAAGATAAAAGTCAAATTCATTTTGCAGAAAATATGAACTTGGCCAAGAAAAAAAAGCTACTGGTTGATTTCTGTGGAATAAATGAAAACTAAATACATATGTGATTAGGTACCAAGAAAATCTATGGCAGCAAATCTAAGTGTTCCCAATGTTTTTATTGCTGAAAAAGAATTTATTTTAGTTACTATGACTTCTTACATGTGGTTCTGGAAAAAAAAAGATTAATTTACCACTGCCACCAAAATTATTGCCTCTAAAATTCCTAAAGTGTAGAGACTTAAGAGTATGAGATAGCATGGGCCATCTCCATGACAAATTATAAACAGAAGAAAATAAACCTGTCATTAACTTGTTAACCATTATTGCAGGTAAATAACATTTAAACCATATTTTTATTTTAAGACACAAAATAACATGCAGACCTATTCTGCTATATACCTAGGGTGCTGCAACCGTTGAGCACACATACAATAAAATGTATTCTATACAACAAGAGTCTCATGGAACATAAATGGTTCATACATTATTATGGCTTCCTAATTAATTTGGGAAGTACAACACATCAAATAGTTTTGGGCCTTTACAATGCATCTTAAAGCTCCTTAACCACGTTTCTTAGTGTACTTGACTACTTCCTCCTCATTAATCTCACTAGCATTTTTGGACTAAATAAACCTTTAGAGAAATGCTGACTCAAAAGACTCTTTTGCTTTTATATTTTTAAGATTCTAAGTTGAGAAGTCAAGAGGGCCAGGAAAACGAATAAAAATAAGTAGCAGTGGGGTGTGGGGAATTTGGGGAACCACTAGAAAGTTCTGGACGCCAGAGATTTGAGAGGCTCCTAGGACCCAATGGAGGTGACATTAGCCAAAATACTCAACAGCAGGAAGATAGAACCTGAAGAGACCACCAGTATCTACCTCCAGTAGATAGATATGCTCCACCCATCCAAAAAATTTTAACCCAGAATTGTCCCTGTCTAAAGGAAATCCAGGGACAAAAATGGAGCAGAGGCTGAAGGAAGAAAGGTCACTCAGAGACCGTGCCACTGTGAAATCCATTCCATCTGCAGACACCAAACCCCAACAGTATTGCTGATGGCAAGATGTGCTTACAGACAGGAGCCCGGGATGGATGTTCTCTGAGACACTCTGTCAGTACCTGACTAAGACATGCAGATACTCACAGCCAACCATTAGACTAAGCTAAGGCCCCCAACTGCAGAGTTAGGGGAAGAGCTGAAAGGGATTGCAAACCCATAGGAAGAACAAGAGTATCAATTAACCAGACCTCTCAGAGCTCCCGCTACATATGTAACAGAGAACTGCCTCATCCAGCATCAGTGGGAGGGGAGGCCCTTGGTTCTGTGGAAGCTTGATGCCCTAGAGAAGGGGATGCTAGAGGGGTGAGGTGAGAGTGGGTAGGTAGGTGGGGGAGCACGCTCTTAAGGGCAAAGGGAAGGGGGATGGAGTGGAGGGTTCATGGAGTGGAGACTGGAAAGAGGGATAACAATTGAAAAGTAAACAAGTAAAATGATTAATTAAAAAAAAAGATTCCAATGAGATTAATAATGTTCTGGAACTACACTTTGTTCATAGTGATAAGGCAGTTTACTGAGGTTTTGGTTTCTTACAACAACCTGGCTGTTTTTCTATAGTACTACACCAATACTTTGGATTACAGACATTTACGAATTTCTGAACACTCAACTATCTCACTGTTTGTCAAGTATCTTAACAGTGAAAAATACACTGAGCATCAATGAGGCTACCATTAAAACTAAATAGTATTTGTATGCCAAGGACAGGTTCTTTTAAAAGACAATGTGAAATGAAAGCCACAATAGTTTTACTGGAAGTGTAATTATATAAACGTAAGTATTAGACACTCACAATATTAGTCCTAACAACAATGCATTACTTCATGATAGAAATAGTTTTCCCATAAAAAAAAATGTAACTCCAACAATATCCTGGAAGTCCTCTAAACTTGAAGTCAAGGTCTTCTAATAAAAGAAGACTCAGTTGCATTTCAAGTTTACTAAAACTGATTTCTCAAAACATTTCATACCAGCTGTTACTCAGTACTTGGTCATTTGATCCTGTAACTCAATGAGAGGAGTGCAGCATAGCAGAGTTTTAGAAGTACAAAAATTGAAAAAAAAATTAACTCCCACTTCTTAATCTGTGGGGTCTAATATCATAGTTTTTGTTTTTAAATTATATAGAATGATCAAAAGGGAAACTTTTAGGTATCACTGATAGATAGCCTACCTATGTGTCCCAGAACACAGAGAAAAATGGGTAACAGAAATTAAAATGGAAGTTGTCAAATGGCAAGTCCTGTAAAACTAACACTCAGTAGTATTGAGGACAGAAGTGGAATGATAATACACCCCTCATGCCTGAGGTATACTTTGGAAAGACTCTTGTACTGGGATTGAGAGGCCACTGAAATAGTCAAAAAATCAAATCTCACCAAAATAGATCTGCAAAGGTGTGCAAGTTAAGTGCCTTATAGAAGATGATAGAATACAAGGATACAGAAAATACAGCCTGCAAGAAGATAAAGCCCTCAGACAATTTAATTCTTTTAGTTGCAAGCCTATAGCAGTTTAAAGCTAGCTAGGCTTTGGAGAACAGCCACTAGACACTAAGTTAGCTTCCTTACTATGCAACTCTTCCTCCTCATCACTGGAATAAGATGAGCCAAAAGAAAAGAGATTTAAGGAGGAGTGGAGAAATGCTGATGGAAAAGGAGATCCACCTTGTTGGCTTCATGTGCTGCTGCGCAGAGAAGTAGGTTAACAAAAAGACATTAGAGCATGCAAAGGGTATGTCAGGTACCTCCAACCTAGGTGGAGACAGGATAATGTTGATGGCCTTCAGGATCCTAGGAAAGGTTATCAAAATTAACATCTTATTTGTTTATTATTTGCGTATTTATTTTGATTTTCAAGGGAGTGTTTCTCTGTATAGCCTTGCTGTCCTAGAACTCTGTAGACTAGGCTGGTCTCAAGCTCACAGAGATCTACTTGCCTCTGTTTCCTGAATACTGGGATTAAGGATGTGTGCCACCACTGCCCAGCTAACAATATATTTATTTACATATTGGTTTATGAGCATGAACAATTGCAATGCAGTTTAATAAATCACCTAAAATCCATACTTGTTAAATTTGAAAACAAGAAGCGAACTCTTTTTAGTGGTCCCAGTTGATAGCTTGAGTTTCCTTCTTTAGGGTTTATAGAAAACATCCAACAGTGATGTTGTTCAGGGTTCAGTGTTTACTGCTCTTCTCAGTCATCTCAAAATTCCTACCTCACTCCACCTTTTCCTAGCATTTGCACAAAATATACTGGGGCCTTCTTTCTCTATAATCTTTAAGGCAGAGCTGTGCTTTCAGAATCAGACTCATTTATCTCCTCTCTCCCTCGTGGGTAGGTGGGCACTCCTCAGACAACAGAAACCCCTCCGACACAGAAAGGAGCACATCTTTTCCTGCCACCTTGCTCTCCAGCTATCCCTTCACCTGCCAAGTGGTATCTAACAGCTACTTAGTTACTCAAAGGTGCAAAGCTTAGCACCATCACGGGATCCTTACAGCACTACTCTTTTGTGCTGCTCTCCTGAGGTCACTATTCTGAACCAGCTACAGTGCAAACCCCACAAAAGCCTTCAATTGACCTGTAAGAGTTTTCTTCCCAATATCATTTCCATCATGGCTGGTCTGAAATATTTGAATTTACAAGCTTCAACTGCCTTTGGAAACAAACCCTAAATCCTCAGTCCCATATATCAATTTCTTTCGGCCTGAACTTTCTTCAATTCCCGGAGCCTGATAATTCTAGAACATTAAATATTTATTTTAGTTGCTTCATTTACTATTTTCTATTAGATTCAACTTGTTTTCTTATTTGTAAATTGTAAATATAGCCAAGAAAAAACTATCAGTAAGTTCATTCTTCATCTACCATTGTCCAGTCTGGTACAGTGCAAAAAATTGGTACCCAAATATGGACTGGAAAATAGATAAATAAATTTTCCTTTTATCATTTGGTAAACTTAAGGCCCTAAATCAAATCAAAGATTTGTCCTGTACCTAATATGAAAGCTACCACAACCACATCAGACTGTGAAGTTGAGCTCCCACCAATGAAGTGAAATGGCCACCCCTGCCAGTCCCCTTGCTTGCCCAGGCTAGGTCACAGTTCTCTTTTGTAAAAATAAACTGTCTTGCTGAAACTTTCACTTTGCTTGTCTGTGTGGCACCAGGAATATTTTTTTTCCAATAATTTGGAGTTCTTTTCCAACCTGGTAAGACAATGTTCTTATTTCCAAAACTACTTAAATTACAGTCAGGGAAAAAGAGACTTTGGCACTATTTTGGGTCACTGTGAACTACAGAACTCCATATTCATTATACAACAGGAAGTACACTAATGACTTTAATTCACATTAAAAGCACACACAGCACATTATCCTGGACTTAACAGTTGAAGTGACTGACGGTAAAGGGGTTTCTATAACAGTCATTCATTCATTATCATATGTGCTTACATAAGACATCAGTTAGACTAGCTTATGAAAAACTGACTGTAAACTGAATGTGATGGTATATGCCTATAATCCCAGAACTTGGGGGGGGGGGCTCACGCATGCTCAACAGGAACTGAACAGCAGGTTCAACTCTCCTTAAAGCATGCATGTGTGTATATTTATGTTCAGGTGTGTACACACAGGAAACCAGAAGAGAGAGTCAGCGTTTCCTTGGACCTGGAGCTCATGTTCCTTAGCTAAGCTGGAAGGCAGCAAAGTAGTCCTTTCACCTCCCCTAACCCCCATAGTATGCAGCGGTCACAGAAAAGCCCGAGAGCATGCCTAGCTTGTTATATAGACACTGGGATCCAAATGCAGGTGCTCATGATTACACAGCAAGAGAACCATTCTTCATGCCATGACTCTACTGCGAGAATCTGTTAAGATTAAACATCCAGTTAGCCAAGATGTAAGACAGAACTCATTAATGAAGGGCAGCTATGTTAGTCTCCAGATCTTTTGAATTAAATTTTAAGAGGACACTGAAAGAACACCATAGACACCAGGAGCTTGTGCTTAGTTTCCATAATATCCGGCCCTCTAGTGAAGAACATGTGCATTATTCCCTTTCAGATTTAGTCTTTGCACCATGATCACACACTGTAATTACTCACTGAAAATTGATTTTAAAACAGGTTCCTTGAGCTAGACAGATGGCTCAGTGGTTAAGAGCAATGGCTGATCTTTCAGATAACCTGGGTTTGATTTCCAGTGCCCACATGGTAACTCACAGCTATCTGTGACTTCAGTTCTGGAGGTGCCGACGCCCTCTTCTGGACTCTATGAGCACAGCATGCATGTGGTGCAGATGTAGATGCAGATAAAACACCCATACACATTACATAAAAATAAATCTTAATAATAAAAAGAAAGTTCCTTAAGGGAACACGTTGGTGACAAACATTTATACAATTAAAATGCCTATAAGCATTTTTTTATGCACACATGCCTTGTGTTTATAAATCCCATGTGTCAATATACCCTTGGCAGTCAATTGACCTGCATTTGCACAAAGTTTTAATAGTCATTTTCAGACTTAATCCTCCTGTGCTTGCTTAAGTAAAAATATTCTTCAGCTCTGTCTCTTGAGCTTGATATTTCTGAGTGCTCAGACTAGCTTGTCTTCTGTGAAGTTTAGCAGAGGCAAGATCATTTGAAAAATATTCCCAGATTTACGGAGCCTACTGTGACATAAATATTCATTTTAACATCTGTTCTTGGATAGGATCCCAGACCTAGGAAAAGGTGAGAAAAACTGAATTGTGTCTATATTAGATTAATTTGATCAGGATTAATTTCCTGATTCAGATAATTTTGATAATATAAAAATGGTATCTTTGTTTTTAAGAAACATTAAATTATTTAGGAGTACAGATACCTACTCTCTGAAGGAGAGTGATGAAGAAATGGAATATTCTGGAAAAATATGAAATATTGTAACATTTGGTGATTCAAGGAAAGAATATATAAATTCTTTCTACTATTTTTTCCATGTATTTTTCTTGCTAGGTATTTCTCCAGTGAGAGTCATTTTACCCATTTTCAAGTCTGAAATTATTTCCAAAACTCCTTTAAAAATAGTGGCATATTTAAACCCCACAATATAATGAATATAATATATGCATCAAAGAGATTTTTACATAGCAAGAGGAACAGCTAAAAACTGATTATTTTAGCAGCTATGGTTAAATATAAAGACAGTCCAAAGAAGAAGCAGACATATTTTGGAAGTTAATAAGATCCCAAAGTAAGAAAATTGGTAAGAATACTGGTTAAGGTATACTTATTTTTTTTAAAAGTAGTATACTCACTGTCTAATCCAGGATGACTGATTGTCATTAATGAGATGGATTTTGTCAATGGAGAAGAAATGGCTGATGTACAGTAGTTAAATCCCTGTTGTTTAGACCTGTAGCATGTCTACAAAATAAAAAAAAAATGAAGAATGAGTTCTAAGTACATATTCATATATTTAGACATGTGCAGAATTTGCACTGACCCAACTTAGTGAAGGACGAAATAGAATGCAGTCTGCCTCTGCCACTTAACTGTCACTCAGCTTCTAAGAAGTTACCCAGCTTTTCTAAGCCTCCTGTTTTCACCTGGAACTGGTGAGTTCTCAACATTTACAGTGGGTTTCCATCCCTCAGAACATTTAATAATGTTTCAAATTGAGGAAGTACTCAGTAGGTATCTGCTGGAAATATAATCTGGTAAGTAACTTCACCAGAAGTAACAAACGACACAGAGCACTGCTCCTTTGAAAAATCAAACCATCTTCAGAGATTGACAGTAGGACATGTTGTTATTCTGATTGTAAGGATTTGGAAACTGAGATGTGAACAGAAAGCATTTCAAGAGCATTAGCAAATCAGCAGTGCATCTGAGAAGAGGCAAAATCTCTTTCACTTCCTCTTAGATTGACTGTACATTAACACAGGGTGATTGCAATTTAGTAACTTAACTTCCTCAGAGTTACCGGCAATTTAAATCCACAGCATTTTAAAAGCCCTATGGCCCAAGCAAAAGCAGAGGCTCCTTTTAACATCCAGGAAGGAAACATTGTTACTTCTGGTGATAAAGGATAAGGTGATAAGGGACTCATTCTGCTTTCATTTTGACCGAGAATACTCACAAGATGAAATCTGCCTCTTTCTGACTCACACAAGTTGAAAGAGACACTGAGCATCTACTCCTAGCATGCACTCACTCATTTGGGCCAAAGATTTCTGATTATTTCGAGCTTGTTCCATGTTTAACCATGGAATCTGAGACAAACAGTTGCTATGTTTCAAATACAACTGTGAGGTCTGAAAAATGATCTCAGAGAACAGCAACCTTTTAAGAGGAAGTTGACTACAGGCAACTTGTCTAGATCAGAAAGATACATGAGGCACAACAGCTACTCTGAGGTTATGCACAAGAGGAACTAAAGGTAAGATGAAAGTTCTATGAAGACTATGCATAGCACAGCACACTGTGGTCCCAAAATGCTGATATTTATCTATAACTGTTGACTTTATCTAGAAAGATTAAGTCAGAAAGATAGCAACGAGAATTAGTATCATTTACTAAAAGACAAGGTCATCTGTCAAATTTCTCAGAAAAGGTTGCACAAACAGTATTAAGAAAATGAAAATATTCTCATTGAAAACTGTCTGCTTCTAAGTCATGGCAAGAAATAATGAGCGCAACCATCACCAAGTCCAAGCTAAATGTTATAAGGCAATAGAGAACTCACTTATAGGGGCGTGACGCTCTCACAGTTAAGGGAGGGATCAACAGGCATTTATTGAGCAGTATGATTGAGACAAAGACCATATTTTCTCTAGGAAATAACCTTGGGGCATCGATTTTCAAATTGCTAAATTTAATAATGACATAATATACTTTAAAACTCAATTTACAATGAACTGAATACTTTTCCAATCCTAAAACATTTTCTGTAATGGGATATTTAAATCTGCATAGATTAATGTATTCTTTTTGAAAAATAATATTTTATATTTATTTATTTATTTTTTGTTTAGAGTGTTTTATCTGAACGTATATATGTGTGCTACATTCATGTCTGGTGGCCCCGGAGGTCAGAAGAAGGCACTAGATTCTTGGAACTGGAGTCATAGATGGCTATGAGCCACTGTATGTGGGTGCTAGGAACCAAATGTCAGTCCTCTGCAAGAGCAGTAAGTGTTCTTAACCACTGAGCCATCTCTCCAGACCAACTGAAATATTCTTAAATATTCATGTTTAGTTCTAAAAACGTGTTATTGCTAGAGCTGAAGATATTATCTAATAGGTAAGTAATCATAGTACTAGTATTTATTAGTACTAATAAAAAGCATAAAAATGAGGTCATATTTGGGGGTAATATTCCACTACCACACCCATCAGTATTACATACTTATTTTAGCCTTACCTGTTGATCAAACATCCTATGATGCTGTCTCTGGTCTGGCTCCAGATGTTCTTCTGAAAGTGACATCAAAGAGTTTCTCTGTTCCTCACCACTGAAAGGGTTTCTGAGCTCGCTGGAGTTTGCAGAGCTTATTTCTAAAGATGAGGATGGCTTATTTCCAACACCGCTTCCTCCTGTCAAGCCTTCCAGACTGAAACTGAACACAGAGCATAAGAGTTCAGTCATTGTTTGTAGGTTGCAGAATGGGAAGATAAAAATATCCCTTTAACTTGTGTATTTATTCTTTCTATGTTTCCTACTCAAAGTAACTACAAGGATACAGAGCAGATAAATACCACTCATCTTCCCCCCAGTGGTATCGGATGTTGAGAAAGAACATCAGACATGTTTACTTTCCTACCTCATTCAACTTATCTAATGTTGAACCAGATACCATAATTTTCTCAGCTGTTTTTTCAATATACCATATGTACAGACCATATTCATCTTATCATCTATGTGTGTGTGTGCATATGCTTTCATTGATGTGATAAAAGTAATCTTTCCAGAATCTGACTCATCTAATTCCAAATGTCACAAAGCACAAGCATAAGGAGTTTTGAGAATGGAAAGTGAGTGACTTGGCTGTGTGCTCATCATGTGGACCCTGATAAAACTGTACTCAATTATATTTTGGTTACTCTAACCACTTTCTGGGTACACTTCTACCCAAAAAACTCTGGTTTCACTGATGAACAATACCATCTGTGCATACCTGGCCAGATGATGGCTTAGTGAGAATTGTCAGCTGCAGAGAGACACATAAAACACTAGAGCATAAATGCTGAGAAAGGTAACAGTGTTTAGAATTTTAAAAGGGAGTCCTGAGGTACAGATTTTGTGGTTACTTTTTGTAAGTAAGGCTGAAGAAGAAGGCAATCTGTCTATCCACTTTGGAGTTGCTAACTAGAATAATGCACAAATCGGTTATAACTGCATTGAAAGAACTTCTTTGAAAGAAGAATACAGTTGTAACTGATTGTGTTTGCAGTTACCAACCAGCAGGAATTTTATTTGGATGTATACTGAAGCTATATGGTTACTTCTGTTCTGGGAAAACTGTATACTTTATTGCTACAATTAAGTTCATAAATGCCAGCCCCAAAGGGTTATTTTTTTTTCCTAATTTACTTATGAACTGAAGCCATATGTCTCTATTTTCTCCAGTGGGTAAACTATTAACACATTTGTTTTTCTTATTTCAATATGACAATAGATGTCATGATGAATTGCAACTAAATGTCTCTGTAGAACCATTTTTTAACACCAGGCATAAGAAGAAAGTTTAGCTAAGTTAAGAAATTTAGTTTTCCACTGCGAAATATCTGAAAAGCCTGAGAAAACCTGATCTACGCTTACCACAAAACTTAATCCTGAAAACATTCTAATAATTAAATCTTGCTGCCTAACTTAAAAGATAAATAGGAAATGATGAGGCATCTAAACTCAGAACCTAAATGTAGGACTTGAAAGTATAATAGAAGCCAGGGCCTATTAGCTGTTTTGATTCATTGTTTCTTAATCCGGGAACCTTGAAAGACAAAGGCAAGGGCTTAAAGCATAGATACAAGGTTCATGCAGAGACCACAGCAATCTATTGCTACTTGAGAGAAACAAAGCAGCAGTGGGGACTGTTCCTAGGTCACAGTCCTGCAAATCCGTTAGTGGTGTCCACAGTGAAGGCGGCAGCAGTATATATGGTTACAAATATTGCAGGCTGCCCATGTGCATTCCAGCCACAGAGAAGCCAGCTATAGCCCAAAGCCAGAAGTCTTACTTTATGTTTCCTGGTTTGGTGGCTGGACATGAAATACTATACCTTCTGATATTAAAGTCAGCATTCAGGGCAGCCGAGTACTGCACACCAGAGGGACACCAGCTCATACTGGAGGTGACATCAAAGGCAGAAACAAGAAATGGAGGGAGAAAAGAGGAAATAGGTTTGGGTTATTCAGTTTAAAAGAAAGGACATAGAGGTAGAATTATGTAATCATTTTAAAAAAAAAACCAAACATAATGGAATGTAACACTGAGAATTTAGGAAAAGACTAGAAAAAGAACCACAGGAATTTAATATTGTCCAGTTGATGTCCATTCAGATATTGTTTTGGGAAAGATCATGAGAGCTCTTTATGGATAACTGTTCTGAGTGAAACTTAAGAATTTCTTCTACTAATCCCCTGGCAAAAGCTGCACCCCACTCATGGCTCCCTCTGCAGACATTCCTGGAGAGGTGTTCCTAATTCCACCATTGTGGCCAAGTGTCCCTCTGTATCCACCCCTGCTCCCACACCCTTCGACTCACGGCAGTCACTCTTAGGCCTGAATGGAAAGGAAACACTACAAACAGCTCAGAGGCCTCACTGAGAAATCAGTATTTTTAATATGTTCCCATTATGGATCCAGATAAGCCAGACAATGTATGAATCTTTATGAATCTTATACAATAGTTAACTCATCGTTCTTTAGAAGCTATTCACTAGGTTTTTCTGCTTAAATAAGGCAAATACAATAAAAGCTATCCCTTCCTTATAGTTTTACACTGATGAGCAGACTTATTTTTCTAGAGTTCTATGGGAGCAAGATGAAAAAGTCTTTTAAATTGTAATTTTGTATTCATTTTCTCCAAGATTAAAACAAAACAAAACATCCATCTGGTCACCTGCTTCCTTGTTTATCCTATGCAATATAGCAGGGGAGGAAAACCTAGGATGGAAAGGTTAAATAAATACGGTAGGCAAGAAAGTAACCAATCATATTAGCAGGTCCTCTGTGCCTACAACTTTATCGGAGGCCAGGATCTTCACTTGCTTATTTGTTTAGTTCCTTCAGACACATGCCCAAGGTATAGTCCTAGGTTACAATTTTTGATTAACAAGTATTGTCACCTAAAAATACTGCTTTTGGGGCCTTAAAATTCTAAGTCTATGCTACTGTCTTAAAACAACAGCAGCGAGAGATGTAGGAGCAATGGAGAGCCATGCAGGTATGGAGAGTAGTTCCGGGTAACAACTTTTATTTAGGCTAGCTACTTAGGAAACAACTCTCTTTGTATGGACATACTGTTATTAAGCTTTACCAAACATATAAAGCCTTTAATTAATCTTAAAACAAAACCAAACAAAAAAAAACCAAACAAAAAAAACCAACAGCAGCAAAGACAACAAAGAGCCTGGGACAAGGGTGAAAGCACAGCGGTGGTCAGGAGAACCATTCACTGGTCCAACCTCAAGCTCTAACAACTCCGCTTGGTGGACATGACTTGGGGTAGAGGAAAGGAGACAGGAGATGGCGGGATGCTGTGACAGTTTCCTCTACAGCTGTTCCAAATAGTATGACAAATTTCAAATCCCATTAAATAACAGGGTAAGGCTCAAATAAGGAAAAGGAAAAATACATAGTTTAAGGCATCTCTCATCTGGGAATAAGGATTAGACTAACTCAAACTTATTTGTACGAGCAGAAGTGAAACATAATTTACAAACATTCATAAGGCTCAGAAATCCAATCTTTGAAGCTATTGGTTTTTAAACTTCCAATGGGATACCTAAATATCTGATTTCATTACCCACTGCCCCATTGACAGGGTTTCTTTGGGTAGCCCTATCTGTCTTGGAACTTGCTCTGCAGAGCAAGCTGGCCTTGAACTCAGAGATCTACCTGCTTCTGCCTCCCTAATGCTTGGATTAAAAGTGTACACCACATGTTTGCGTTGAGTTCTTATTAAAAACAGAAAACCATTAACTTGATATATAGTGTCAAATCATAATTCTTAAAAATAAGAATGATCTCTTTGTAGTTTCATATATCTCCTCTACTCTAAGAACATGATAATGCTGTGAAAAGCATTTAAGATGCAGAACAGGAGGAGGAAAAGCTTAGACAAGTTTCACAGAATCCAGCAAGCTGCAAATGATCTAAGCCTTCCCTGATTTTTTCTTAAAGTATATTTCTGAGAGCCTCTAAAATCGTAAGGTTCTTTGACATTGAAATTTAGTAAGTCCAGTTTATTTTTGGAGAAAAACTTTCTTCTTTAATACTCGTTTGAATGTTTCAGTTTTATAAGTATGACTATGAGTTATGCTCTTCCTACAAAGATAATTTTCCCATATGGTCTACTGTAAGCTCAGGTTATGTCTGATGTGTAGAGCTTGGGCTGCCCTGCAGGCAGTGACTTGTTATCCTTCACTGCGTAATCAGATGTGCGTTTCACATAGCTCATAATGTTAATTCATAATGAAGAGCTTTTAGCAGAGAGGGGGACAAAACATTTGCAAAGGTTTTAGATACTATCTATTGAGATAGGCATTTAATAACTTGTTCCCCCAAAGAACAGCCTAATCATGCACGACCATTTGAGGCTCATGAAAAAGTTAGAATTTAAGATCAAAATTTCCCCTAAAATATGGAATTAAAGGATACATCTGAAAATGATAAAGCAGAAAGATTACTATTTTGCCTTTCTCACAAATATTCTGCCAATAGATAAAAGTATATTTACAAATGTCTCTTTATGTGAGAAATTAATGATAAAAGAAATATGCTTCTAATTTCTAGACAACTTTTTTAAACAACGGAAGAAAAATCAGCAATAGCTCTACAAAACAAATCTTTAAAACATGAAGCAACTGAGTATGTTTTAAATAAACATGACTTCTTAGCTTACAAATATTAGCTTCATTTTTTACTTGATATATAATAATTATCAAGCAATTCAAAATTAGGTGTCAGCTCATGCCAGATAGCTTTCTAAAAATACTACCAGGTGGTCAGCTAACAAAATTCTTTCTTCATATTATTCAGGAATGTACTGAAAATATTTTAGAACCTATGTGAGAGTAAGCACAAACATATTTCTAGCTATTCTTGTTTTCTTTTCCTCTTGGGAGACAGATAGAAGAAAAGTATTCCCCAAAGTCCATTAGCTATATATAACATAGAAAAGTCCCTGAATTCTCCCAGAAAAAGGTATCTGAGCCAGTAAGTATGTGTGTATATTATAAATTTACGACTAGAAAAAGAGACTTACTTTAGATTAAAGAAACTATTTCCTGGTAGGTAGGTAAACACAGCAATTAACAAGCACCTATATTTTATTTGCCAGCATCAGAAATAAATGTTTAAAAATGTGGTCCAATCATGTATCCAGATGAGATGCTTGTTAGTACATGCTCAGAGATGACATGGTTAGTTCAATTCAGTGAACTCTGTACCTTCTCCTATGAATGGGAGGTCTCCTGACAACATGCCCAAGAACTTGCATTGAACTGAAAATGAATGATGAAGAGGTCAGTAATGGAGGTGAACCGTGACACACAAATGCATAAAACAGAGCTCACACTAAGAAGAAACACAATCCCAAAGACAAACAGCACGGCATAGAGGAGACTGAAAGACTAATATGATAAAAATATCAGAACCCGAATGCCTGACAAAAAGGTCGGCCATTCTTGTTACCTTGGTACTCCAAGTAACTAATTAGTTATCTTAATATGGAGATTAGTGTAAGTTATAAAAGTAAATGGGTCAGAGAAAAGTGCCATTCAAAACATTAAAAGGGGTTTCCTTCAGGCTTTAAAATTTAGGTAACCAAATATACAAGTAATAATATACAAATTAGTCAAACTATAGTGGTAAAACCTAACTCTATTTCATTGCATCTCAACGTATTAAGACAGTACTAGATAATCCTTTACCCTAAGCTCAAACAGGCACGATATACAAGCTTAAAATACAAATAGGTAACAAGCATAAGATCGCCATGTAACCTTGGGCGAGCCTTTAAATACAGCTTCAATTTCTTCATCTAGCTACCTAATATATGCATACCTCTGCAATCAGTCATTACAAACAGATCTATAATGAGTTATGTAGAAGAATGTGTATTTATAAAATAAATTCCCACTCCCTGATCAGTCCTTCATCATCTATGACAAAAATGTCTTATCAAGAAATTAATTGCCTGGTGGTGGTGGTGCACGCCTTTAATCCCAGCACTTGGGAGGCAGAGGCAGGCGGATTTCTGAGTTCGAGGCCAGCCTGGTCTACAGAGTGAGTTCCAGGACAGCCAGGGCTACACAGAGAAACCCTGTCTCAAAAAACCAAAAAAAAAAAAAAAAAAAAAAAGAAGTTACTTGTGCTTCAGGAAGTAATTTCTACCCATGATGATCATGCCTCATGTCCATAGTAATGTTTGAAAAGAAAACTGTGTATACAACTGGGAAGGAAAGCCGTTATAAATTATTTTTTTATATAATCTCAGATTTCAAAAATATAAAAACAGAACACAAAAAGATAAAGAACACTGTTTTTTTTAGACCACCATCCTAATGCCATGGAATAATATGGGATTGTACAATGACTTGAGTGTGAGTGTCTGCAACAGTCTTTTATTATACAACTATGGGGAAAATAATACTTGAATCACAGAGAAGATTAAAAAAGGGCATAAGACAATATGCTATGAAGAAGTCTGAACAACTGGCAAACCAGTGAAGTATAGAGTTTGATTCTGAGCTCTGTGAGGGCAGGGATTAATCTGTTTCTCCAGAACCTAGAACACTGCCAGACATTAAAAAAAATGCTCAATCTGAGCAGGCTGATTATAAGAATAAATGGAGGGCTGGAAACTGGCTCCATAGTTAACTGAACTAGCTACTTTTTCAAAGATTGGCTTTGATTCCCAGCATTCAAATGGTGCCTCACCATATGGTTACAGTTACAGGTGTCTGAAATTCCCGTTCTAGAGAATATGATGTTCTTTTATGGTCTCCTTGGACTATATAGCCATAATGCAACAAGGAAAAAAGTTCCCAATACTTGTACTATTTATAACAACTGTTTTAAATCAACTGTTAGTAGCTGAGTATGACTCCTGTCTACAATGTCAGCAATCAAGGACTAAGCTATGGCAAAGCATGTTGAGTTCATGGCCAGCTTGTATTACCTATACACACACACACACACACAGACACACACACACACACACAGAGAGAGAGAGAGAGAGAGAGAGAGAGAGAGAGAGAGAGAGAATACACTATTCCAAAATCAATAAAAAACAAAAACAAAAACAAAGAATCCCCTCTCCCTCAAACAAGCAGCACCTTTTTTTTTTTTTTTTTTTTTTTTTTTTGTGTGGCTGAGAGCATCTCTTAGGCAGGTAAAGTGGCCTTGGGGCAAGCACACCTGTAACTTGTTATATGCTACAGTATTTGGTCTGTAAAATTAAACAGTCAGGTCACAAGCCAACTTCTTATAGGCTGCTGCTAAACTGAAGATCTAATGCTGGGATCACTTGTAAATATCTCCAAATTGTATGACACATAGAAAAATACCAATATACCACATAGAAACATATGGCTTTAATTCTCAGGGGACACCAAACCACATAGATGTGTTAAGACTGTAAGATTTCAGCCGGGCAGTGGTGGTGCATGCCTTTAATCCCAGCACTTGGGAGGCAGAGGCAGGTGGATCTCTGAGTTCAAGAGTCCGAGGCTAGCCTGGTCTACAGAGTAAGTTCCAGGACAGCCAGGGCTACATAGAGAAACCTGTCTCGAAAAACCAAACCAAAAAAAAAAAACCCAAAACTGTAAGATTTCATGTTTACTTAATTAAAAATTAACAGAATTCTCTCTTTCAGATTCATGAACTTCACTGATTAATCTGATAAGCCTTATTCTTTACTAAATATTCACTATGTGACAGTAATAGTTTATGCTATCAAAATATACTGGAAAAAAGTATTCTGCAGATGAGAAAATTAAAGCTTACAGTGCTCAAGTAGCTGCCCATCATCTACACCGAAGTTACAGAGTCAGAATGCAAGAATGCGCATCTCCCTGGTTCCATTTGGGTTACCTTTTCTCTGCCACAGGGTCTCCTAACTTTTTTTTTTTTAAACCAGTTACAGTGCTAAATCAGGTACTTTTCTTTTTATTTTTTTAATTTTTTTTATTTTTAATAATTTATTTATATATTTTTTTCAAATCGTAATTCATTCACACAGGGGTTGTAAGCACAGAAAGGCAGGACGTGGGGAAGGGGATGACACTGGAGCGTGGGTGTTCAGGGGGAATACAGATATCTTTCAGAACAGGGTATCGGCAGGTACTTCTCAAAAGAGAACAAACACCGAGTTATGAAATGTACAGGTCCCTATCTTACCTCCGCTGGTTCATTTCTGCATCACTGGCTGCGTTCTTCCCAGGTCCCCAGCTATGCCTCCGGAAAGGAGAAAGAGAACGCATGGAGCCCCTCAGAAAAGAGCAGTTTGCAGGTACTTCGGTGATGCTGTCCATCTCCTCCTCTTCCATTTCAGCAGAGCCAGCAGGCTCACTTTCACCTTCTCGACTCTCAGGTCCCACTCCATGGCTGGAAAAGCCATTGGAACTTTGATGATTTCTGGACCTGTTTAATTTTGAAGTCTGAGGAAGGGACACATCACTGCCATGAGAAGAATGTCGATCCAGGGAAGCTGTGTCATCTGTTGAAGAACTGGATCCTGTTGTATCACAAAGCAACTGCTCTTCCTCAGGCTGTAACAGAGAGAGAGAGAGCACACAGAGTTGAAACCAACAAGCCAAGCAGATATTCTGTTCTATTAGACCCAGACAATGCTTTATAGATGACTGGACACAAGCAAGATTAATAATCGATTTCAAGCAGATTCTCTCTCCTTCCTTCCTTCCTTCCTTCCTTCCTTCCTTCCTTCCTTCCTTCCTTCCTT